TGATTACTTTCGTCCATTTGCTGCCTCATAACGGTGACAGAACTCGATGTAAAAGTTGGAAACGAAAGTGACAGAACACTAAACCCTAGGGGTCTGGTGACTTGGTTTGCCAAAAGCCCTAACCCTTTATAGGGAAAAATGCTGATGAAGAGTTTTCCCCAAAGAGTGGGCCACTGTGATGCAGGCTCGACATAAACTCTGTCGGCATCCCAAAAGCCCGGGGTGCTGGCATTGTGAAACTAGGCATATATTGCCCCCCAATTCCTGTCACCTAGGCCTAGGTTCAGGCCGACGTGGCATCATAACAGGCCCACCATGAGCCGTTGAAAATGCCGACACATCGTTAACGCTAATATCGGTTGTTTGAGTCACAACCGTATTTCCCTCTGAAGAAGGTTCTTCGTTTGGACGTGGTATCACCATCTTACCACTACACAAATGCATACACCCAAACCGAGGTTCCCACTGGCATGCCAATTTATTCGCACACAGTTTTTGCACGAACAACCTCTGACCTCCTAACACATATTTACTTGTGGGATCGGCCAAACAAGTCCCATAACACTTGGTTTGTAATGTATGGGAAAATGGTGGAATGATGTTGTTTGCAATAGGCTGAAGATTACGTCTAGCAAAGACTAAAATTTAAATAAGGATGAATACATAAACAAAAAGAGCCAAAAATAACAACACAAGACACTCTAAAGTTAATGACTTAAATTGCTTATTAAAAGGAAAAATGGACGCGATCATACATTTTGCAGGAATGAAAAACTTTTTTCTCTTAACACTTTGATACTCAGAGTGTTTTTCTTACAATGTTACAAAAATACGCCTCCTAAAATGAAACTAGGCATTGCCTTAAATAGAGAAATAAAATAACTTTGATTTTCAAGTTGGTGGTGCAACGTGTTCGCTCACCACTTTTGTAACTCCCACATTCTCAGATTTCAAATCTGTTTCCCGCTCGAATATTTTTCCTCCTTGCACTGGCTTCTCTGTTCGTCAGTCGACCCTGTCGACCGACACCGCCTGATTCGACCCAACAACCGTCTTCTGCCGACGTCGACTCTCCTCATTTTCTTCACTATCTTTCCCAGCCTGTCGACCCGCCATCCGGTCTTTATGTCGCCTCTCTTTAGTCAAAATTTCCAGTCAACAAAGAGACATTGCAAAACCAATTATCCAAAAAATTCGTTCATGTAACCGATTACTATAAATGGTGTAACCGGTGACACTTGACTTATTTTGAAAAATACAAATTAAATACTAAACATGTGCCACATGATGTTCAAATGAATGTATGTAATAAATGAAATGATCAACATGATTTTTTAAGAACTATAGTATAACATAATGCATTTGCAACTTGTACATCAAAAAGATGTGATAAACCATTAAGTTTCAAAGCTAGTCTTCATACAGTTTAATGTGATAGAACACTTGATGCTTTAGATTTGACCATGAGACTTTTTCAGTTCTTTGACTATGAGCATTGTCTTCTAAGTTATCTTCATCAAAATCAATAGTTAGAGAAGCTTGACTTCACAAGAACAACCACTAGCTCAACCACTTAATCTATTAGTCCAAGTCAAATTATGATAAATAAATAATAATAATAATAATAATAATAATAATAATAATAATAATAATAATAATAATAATAATAATAATAATAATAATAATTCTATCAAAGTTAAATAAATTTACTAATTGATATAATATGTCTACAATACTTTAAAATGACACTGAAAAAGTAACATAAGTAAAAACCAATATATGAAGAGGTGACCACATAACTCCCCCTCAAGAAAAAATGTGAATTCAAATTTTAATATTGTTCAACTAAAAGCTAGTCCAACTATAATAAAATATTTTTTAGATGGTTTCTTAATGCATCCTTTATGTTTTTTTTACCACCACGCGAAATTATTTAAATACCCCTAATTTTTGGAGATACATTTCCGGACGCACCAAATTCTGAATGAATATTGGAATATTCTAGAGATGCATCTCCGTAACAATTTAAAACATAATACACCACAATCAAAAGCCATTATACATTTGAATTGGGCCGGAGATGCATCTCTATGAATATTTCAGAGATACGTCTTCGTAACGTATCAGAACTCGGTCCTTCATGTTATATTTTGTTTATCTGTATTCAAATGAAGATTTAAACTATACCATACAGGAGAAAAAAATAGACGTACATAATTACAAATAGTCCAAAAATTTCATATATAAATAAAATACTAATAAATATAAAAAAATACCATACAATCGAGATCAATACAGTAGCATTATGTCAAAATAAAATACAGACCATAATACTATTATACACTAAGACGCTACTGTGTATGTCTGACTACCTTTTCTCTACCTCCTCTTCCTCGTCTACCTCTTCGGACATCAATCCCCCATGTCCTTCGGCGCTGTCTCTCGTATAACAATGCCCCACGTGACTTCGTTATGATGACATCTAGGACCTGTCTCGCATCAGACCCATCAGTGAAGATACCTTTGTTAACGCCTTCCTGAGTAATTTCCACTATGAGATGACATCTAGGCAAGATATCCTCAACATAATCTAACTATGCATGCTCCTCCTCTAGTATATCCTGATGAGCTGGCCACGACGAATATCCTAGAGCAGCATGCACCATGTACGAATGTGATATCCTGAAGAACCATCTGATGTACCTTTTGACGTAGCTTCAGTCAATCTTAGCTATGGTGCTTTGTGCCTCCTCAGGTACCAGATGACTCTCATAATCATCAAACATGTCATATATCTGTCTACGTGTCAAGGCAGGAGAAACATAGATAACAAGGTGTCTGAGAATGATCTGAGCGTAGTTGAATCTCCCCCGATCGGAAAATGTAACAAACACGATATATTGTCGAGTGTGATAGACATCTCACCATGCGGGAGATGAAACGAAGAGGTCTCAGTGTGTCATCTCTCCACAAATGCATTAAGAATCTCGTGGTTGACCATAGTATAATTGGTCATGCACAAGTCCTTCAAGCTAGATAAGGACAAAAATGCCTGAAACCAATCCTCATTCGGCTAAGGCAAACCAACAATCTTCCGTCTATGATTAATAAACTTCTACGGGTCACATATCACACTCCTGAAAAAAATAATAATCAATGTTAGAAATTTGTTAATTAAAATTACTGTAAAAAAATAATGAATCCAACTAATGCTACTTCTTCGTCCCAAATATGCCTGACAATATGGTTTGGATACAAATGCAGTATCAACAAATCAAATGGGTCTCCTCCAAATAATCCCACCCTATGGAGGTATCACTGGATCAAAAATATCAATAGTAGGAGGTGAGACTGGATTAACACCATCTACAGTAAGAGGTGACATTGGTGAAATCTGACTCATGCGGGAGGATGGGAGAGTGATGCATCAGATGGTGAATCATGTCTCTTACGAGAAGAAGAAGATGGAATGACATGAGGAGAAACACGAGTCTCAAAAGTAGATGACTCTGCCTGACCAGAGGGACCAAGAGTCTCCAAAACCTGCTGACTCTTCTCCCGCCGCACTGATGCGTGCTAAGCAACCCTCTCGTACCTCAGTTTATCGTGTCTATCAATTATTATGCTTGTAAGTTAAACTAAATCATACAATTAGTGCAGACAAACAACACACAAGCAAGAAAATAAAAAAAATACCGCAGAAAATTCCGGAGATGCATCTTCAGAATCTGGAAAATTAAAACACTGAAAAATTTCGAAGATGCATCTCCGTGATTTTCTGCAACTCAGAAGTTGCGTCAATGTCATCAATGTACCCCATGCAATCTAAAAAAAAAACATGTTTTGCCAACTAACGTCTAATACACTATGTCTAAACTATCTTAAATATTATTTCTACTCATTTCTAACTCTAATAATTTATTTATACTCATTTACACAAAAACTCAAAAATTTACCGAAAACTCAAAAAAATTATAAGAAATTGATGTTTTAGATGTTGTTTCCGATGTTAGAGATGATGATTGAAGTTCCGTTAAGCCTTGTTGATTGAGTTATGAGTTGGCGTAGAGAAAAAATTTAAGAGAGTTTAAAGTTGAGTTTGAGTAAAATGAGAATGAGAAATGAGAAGGGTCTGAGACAATTTAACCTTTAAAATATTATAGAGATGCATCTTTGAAATATTTTAACGTTAACTAATCTTTTAGTACGTCTAAAGATTCATCTCCGAAATTTCGAAACAATTCTATTTTTCTATTTATCACTAATCTAATAGAAAGCTCTTTCAAGGTGAAGAATCCAATGTAATAATTATTTATTAGTAGTTTTAGAAGAAAAAAAAGTTATACAAAAAATATATGTAGTTATAATATCAAAGTATGAGGTAAAAAAAACCGAGAATTTATAATAAAAAAGGGAGAAAGTATGAGATAAAAAAACAAAGCTAGATACACTAATTTAATTGTAACTATCATTGATGCATTTAAGTTGGAGTTTATTAACTCCAATAAATAAATTGAACTTAACTTTAGAGTTAGTTGTCATTTTTAACTGCAGTGAACCATGCGTAATTTATTGGTGCAGTGAACCATGCGTAATTTATTGGTGCAGTGAACCATGCCTGAATTTCTTAACTGCAGTGAACCATGGTCCTCACTTTCTTACTGTAAAACCCCTTTGTTGTTTTCCGCATTGCCACATCTGGGTTTTACCAATCAAAATGATTTCCTCAAATTCTCAGGTTTCTCTTTCTCTAACAACACACTATTATCTTCATTCTCACCAATCACTCTTTGCATTGTTCTCTACTTTTTTCCTTATTCGTGCATGTCCAATTTGTTATCACTATTTTTTCATAGTTTATCATTCATGAATACTTACTAATTTTGCTTCATTGAACAGGTTTTGGAAGATAAAATTCTGGGTAAATGGAAAGTTTGATTCTTTTGGAACACTAGTTTTCTTCCATATTTGATCGTTATATTGCAAATTTGAAGTTCAAAATGGTTATTTGTTTGTCAACAAATTCTGTGCATTCTAATGCTAGAAATTCAGCAGAGTTGCTGAATGTTAGAGGAAGAACATTCCCTAGAAGAGTTAATTTCATGGAAAATGGATTTTTTGGTGGTGTAAGTAAGTTAGGTTTAGTTCAAGTTAAGTGTAATGGGAGTTCATATCATAGCCAAGACCCTTTTCTAAATCTACATCCCGAGGTTTCGATGCTTAGAGGTGAGGCGAGCAACACGGGGAATATTCCAAGGAAGGGTAGTTTAGGCGGGGACTTATCTGAGAGGTTAGATGATACGTCTAGTCAAAGTAATTACAATCAGGCAAAGATTAAGGTTATTGGAGTGGGAGGTGGTGGATCTAACGCGGTCAATCGCATGATTGAGAGTTCGATGCAGGGAGTTGAGTTTTGGATTGTTAATACGGATGTGCAAGCAATGAGAATGTCACCTGTGTTTCCTGAGAACCGCTTGCAAATTGGTTTGGAGCTTACGCGAGGTCTTGGAGCTGGTGGTAATCCTGAGACAGGAATGAATGCAGCGAAAGAAAGCAAAGAATCAATTGAAGAGGCGGTTTATGGAGCTGATATGGTCTTTGTTACGGTATGTTCAGTTACTTTTCTCCGGTAATAGTTTCTGTAAATTGGATTACAGTTTTGTGTTATGAATTTTCTTTGTATAGATCTAAATGTTACACCATGATCTTTCATGATTTACAATTATCAGTACATATGAGTAAGGGATCAACTTGCCAAAATGTTGACTTATTTTATAGCTCGATGCGTGGCATAATGATGTGCCTGTGGTTCTTTTATATCGTTCTTTATTGGTACAGACGAGGTTGTGGTTCTTCTATATCATTCTTTATTGGTACATTTTTCTAAACTTGAAAGTAGAAATGACCTTTTGCAGGCTGGAATGGGTGGTGGAACTGGCACAGGTGGTGCCCCGATTATTGCTGGTGTTGCAAAGTCAATGGGTATACTGACTGTTGGGATTGTGACCACCCCTTTTTCATTTGAAGGCCGAAAGAGAGCCATTCAAGCACAAGAAGGAATTACTGCTTTAAGAGATAGCGTCGATACTCTAATAGTTATTCCAAACGACAAGCTATTAACTGCAGTTTCTCAAGCTACCCCTGTAACCGAGGCATTCAATCTTGCTGATGATATTCTTCGACAAGGCGTTCGTGGCATATCTGATATTGTTACAGTATGAAATTGCTAATGATCTTTGAACATTAATACACGCTTTCCTTTTGTTCCAGCATTATCTTTCTGTAAAAAATAAAATCAATAATGCTCATTGATATTACTAATTGAGTGCAGGTACCGGGGTTGGTAAATGTAGATTTTGCAGATGTTCGAGCTATAATGGCTAATGCTGGTTCTTCACTGATGGGGATAGGAATTGCAACTGGTATGTATTGAAGCTCAAAATGATTTAATGCTGTTTAGACTTCAGCTTTTACCAATTATACACTGCATCTAGTTTCTGTTGTAAGAAGAGTAGATCAAATGGAGAGAAGTCAAACAACTAGCGGTAAAGGAAGATCTAGAAAAACTATAAGAGAAGTTATTGAGAAAGATCTTGAGATTAACGATTTGGATAGAAGTATGGTCCTGAATAGAACATTATGGCGAAAGTTGATCCATGTGGTCGACTCCACTTAATGGCATAAGGCTTGGTTGTTGTTGTTGTAGTTGTATTAGGCTTCTTTCTGCCATTGTTGGTTTAGGAGGATTACTAGCCCAATATAATTTATTTAACTTCATATATTATTGAAATTCATCGTATTTCTTTTTTTTGTGTGTGTGTGTGTTAAAAGGGAAAACAAGGGCAAGAGATGCTGCATTAAATGCTATCCAGTCACCTTTACTAGATATTGGTATTGAAAGAGCTACTGGGATTGTTTGGAACATAACCGGTGGAACTGATCTTACCTTGTTTGAGGTGGGAGTGTTCTTATACTGTAACCTTTGCTAAGTATCTGTTTAATGCTATTTTTTTTATACCTATTCTGTGGATATGATATCAATTTGAAGATCAAAAAGAGATGCTAATAATATGAACTCCTTATGAAAAGACTACATTTCCATAGTTTTTCTTTTCTATTAAGCATTTTGCAAACTTCAACTTTTAATTGAGCTAATACTTGTTTGAGGCGCTGCGGTTCCTGATCTACTGTCTATTGAATTCTTCATGCTCTTGCAGACATGCTATGAATGATACCAGTTTTGTATTCTATGGCTTTTAACATAATCATTTACAGGTAAATGCTGCTGCAGAGGTTATCTACGACCTTGTGGACCCTAGTGCTAATTTAATTTTTGGAGCAGTAATAGATCCATTACTCAGTGGTCAAGTAAGTTAAACTACTTTTTTATGACAATGTAATATTAAGTCCTCAAATGAAATTCAAGAATGTCTTTTTATCACATTATGGACCACAGAACCTAAGGATAAAATAATACTTAGTGAAAAGACTTAAAGAGAAAAAATATTGGATAAGTTTGTCTTGTTTGAATATATAGTTTAGTTAAGTGTTTGTAGCACAAGAGCTTATCATATTAGTGTTGAAGTGTAAGCTAATTCCATAACAACAACAACAATCAAGCCTTGGGGTCGGCTACATGGATCAATATTTATCATCATATTCTATTCAGGACTATGCTTCTATCCAAATCGTTAATCTCGAAGGCTTTTCTTAATAATTTCTCTTATAGTCTTTCTAATTCTTCCTCTTCCTCAGTTGTTTGATTTCTTTCCATCTGATCTACTTTTCGTATCACCGAATCTACAAGTCTTCTCTCTACATGCCCAAACCACCTTAGTCTATTTTTTACCATCTTCTCTACTATAGGTGCTATCTAAACACTAATATTTTTATTTCTAATTCTATTCTGTTTAGTCTTACCACATCCAATACAACATCCTCATCTCTGCTGCACTTTATTCTCGTGTTGATTCTTAAACGCCCAACATAGTTATTTTCATAACAAGATAAAATAAAGTCAAATTGTTTTTTTTATATGCTATAATCTGTTTAGGTAAGTTATCTTCGAGAGAGCTTATGAAAATATGAAAATCAGTTGAAAACAACTTATGGATATATCATAAGCTGTGTTTCTGTTAACTCTTCCAAAGAGTCTCACAAGTGCTTACGCTAGTAAATAACTTCAAATAAGTTGATCCAAATGTACTTTTAAGTTTTGTATTGTTATCTTGTATATTCTTAGTTGCTGGTATTTGGGGTTGAACAGTTTTCAAACTTCCATTTGTGAAAAATGTTTTTTGAACATGTAATATGATCATCATTGTAAGCTATGTCATTTTGTTTCATATAGGTAAGCATAACACTAATTGCAACCGGATTCAAGCGTCAAGAGGAAGACGATGCGAGACCCCTACAGGTAAATTTCAAATCTCCCCTCCCTCTTCATATCATGCATACTCATAATTTTGGTTCATGTACTAAACACAGGCTAGTCAGCTCAGTCAGGGAGATACAGCCATCGGTTTCAATCGGCGACCCTCCTCTTTCTCCGACAATGGTAGTTTGTTTGACATCCCTGAGTTCTTACAAAAGAAAGGACGCTCACGCTATCCAAGGGTTTAATACTTTTCTTCCCAATGCCACACATTTCTTCACATATGCATCAATTTTTAATTGGATCATAAACCCTGTTTAGGTGTTACATCCCTGTTTTTCTCCTTTTTAGATTTTATAACTCAAGAGTTGTTCTTCAGTTTCGGTTTGTTTATCTAGACTTGTGCTGATTACATGAATAATTGCAGCTTCTATGGTTATTTTTTGGTATATTTGAATAAGTTAATTAGCTTGTATTCTTGTATAGGAAATATATATATTTTTTGCATTAAGTGGTTTTACCAACCAATGTAATAAAAGATTAAAAGGAGCTTATTTATATTTGGTCAAGAAAAGATCATAAGTTGTTAAATGAGTTTTCTCTTAAAAGTACTGTGTGGTTTCTGTTTTTGATCAGTGTAGAATAGAGAACATTGATGCTACCAAAAATATTCGTTTGATACGCATGATAGAATAGAGACATAATAGGGTTCAAGTTGAATCAAAACGGGCATGATAGAATAGAGAAATAATAGGGTTCAAGTCGAATCAAAACAGGCAAAATATATATATTTGGAATAAGGGATAAAAAAATCAGGGATAAAAAAAATCAGGGATAAAGAATCAGGAATAGGGGTGTACGCGGGTTGGGTTGGACCGGGTTCGCCTTAGCCCGTTACCCAACCCGTTCAACTTTCAATGGGTTGGGTTTATCATCAAACCCGTAATTCTACTTTAAAAACCGACCCGAATCAACCCGAATATTTACGGGTTGGGTAGGGTTGGGTCCACGGGTTGTGTATATAATAATTATTATTTTCAATTTAAAAAATCTATAACACAATTCAATATAATTTTGTATATTTCAAACAATTAAATTATATACGTAGTGGAGACAAATCCTACATATAAAATAGAATAATTAAAAATATAACAATTAAAATTTTGAAATGTATTTTCTTTGTCATAAAAAATATTAAGATACATATACACCATTAATTATTTATATATTTTCATTAATATACCTTAATTTATAAAAATTTATTAGTTATTTTGATACTCAAATGTTATCCATTACAAATATATATCAACATATGTAAAACAAATATATAATAATATACAATATATATTAGTTGTTTTGATACTCAAATGTTACCTTTTCTAGCACATGCTTAAAAGTAGGTCCGTAAACTATCATATATATTAACACTTAATAATATATAAAATTCCATAAAATATCATTTCCATAAAATTCATAAATTCTAAATAATTCAAAAGCAAATAAACATCACTTAGTGTTAAAATGACATAGATGTATTGGTCCAATATTGGTCTAATAGCACCAAAATCTAACAGCAACTATAAAAGATTCCAGCACCAGCAGTGAAAGGTTTAGCAACAACAGAAAATCCAGCAACAGTAGCTGTAAAAGATTCCAGCAACAACAATGAAACATTTAGCAACAACATAAAATCCAGCAACAACAGTTAAAAGTTTAAGCAACAATAGTCAAAAGAAGAAGAAAAAAAACAACACTAGAAAATACCTTAAAATCTAGTAGTAACAGTTGTATTGAGCTCAATCGCAGTAATGCCAACATCAATAGAAACTAATCCAGCTAACTCTATATATGTAAACACAAACAACTAATAAGAATAATGTAATGTAATACTAAAATAAAATAGATTTTAAAATTCAAACATATAATTCATACCTGACTCAACCTTTTCCAATTCAACCAACTCTTTTTCTAAATCAATGACATTAGGAGATTTGATCCAATTTTGAGTACAAATCAAAGCTTCAACGGTAGAGGGATTCAAGGAACTACGAAATGAATCAAGGACACGACCTCCTGTACTAAAAGCGGATTCAGAAGATATAGTGGATACAGGGATAGCCAATATATCTCTAGCTATGCGGGAAAGCACATGATATTTATTTGTTTTTCCTTTCCACCAAGTGAGAATATTAAATGTAGGAGAATCATCTTCAACACCATCCTCCAAATACCTTTCCAACTCATTTTTTTGCACTTCACATTGTTTTTTCTTCATATTCATTCTAAACAAATTGTCCCAATCTTCATCATCTTCACCATTTTCAATTCTAGAATGAGAGGCAATGTTTGAAGATGAGGCATTGGAACCACCATCATGAGAAACAGGATACAAAAATAAATAGTGCTCAAACAATTTAGCAATGAGAGATTTCATTTTCTTTAACATATCCTCTGACAATTTTTCACCATACATCCGAGTAAAACAAAATTCAATATAGTCAAGCTTATAACGAGGATCAAGATAAATAGCAACAAAGAGAAGATAATTTATTGTATTGCTTTCCCAATACTTGTTGTACTTCAATTGCATATTTGCTGTCATGGTTTTCAAAATTGGATCACTAACATTGTGCCTCCATTTATTCAACGTTTTTTTAATATCCATCAACTGTTTGAAAAAAGAGTTAGCAGTAACATGCAATGACCCAGAAAAAGAAAGTGTGGCATCATAAAAAGTTTTCAAAAACTTCACAAAAATACGAGCTCGTTCCCATTCAGCTCGATTAGGACATCCTTTCGACTCAATACAGAGATTAGTTAAAAATGCAACATCAGCATGTTCTAAGCGGTAAAATGCATGTTCATACTTTTCAGCGATGTTCAACATTAAATAAGTAGAGTTCCATCTGGTTTCTACATCTAGTGTTACCAATGCTTTAGAACATACACCAACAGCTTCTGCACACTTCTTGAAAGTAGCCAACCTACTAGGAGAAGCCTTGACAAACTTACATGCAGCCCTAATTCTTTTAACAGATTCATCAATATCCTTTATTCCTTCTTTGACAATCAAGTTTAATATGTGAGCACTACATCTCATATGCAAGTACTCCCCATTAAACAAAGTACGACCATTCCAAAAACTCATGCCTCGATTTAAATAATCAATTGCGTTAGCACTTGCATTATCAACAGTCACACAACGTATAGACTTGATACCCCATTCCTTCATGCAATTCTCTAATGTTATCCTATAGTTTCACCTTTATGGTCAGCAATTATACCAAAGCTTAATATACTCTTCTTTAAATTCCACTCGTCATCAATATAGTGAGCTGTAACACACATATAATTCATATTCTGAATCGATGTCCAAGTATCAGTGGTAAGAGACACCATTTGTTTATTAGCAGACAACATAGATTTCAATTTTTCTTTCTCATCGAAGTACAAGCATAAACAATCTCTGGCAACAGTGACACGAGATGGAATTTTGAATCTTGGTTGAGCCTCTTTCATGAACATATTAAATCCTTCATTTTCAACATATTTAAAAGGGAGCTCATCAATGATTATCATCTTTGCAAGTGTTAATCTAGTCCTCTCTTGATTAAAATCAACAAGTTTCAAGCTAACACTATTAGGATCATCCTCACTTTCTTTTCCAATAGCTATAGTTTTTTGTTTCTTATCAACTACCCTATTTGGATTTTTCAGGCACACTTTCAAATGTTTATGCATGTTAGTAGTGCCATGACTACCACTATTTGCAGCATATTGTTTCCCACAATACTTACATATAGCCTTATCATTAACCCTTTTAAAATCTTTTCAAACTGTAGAAGGTTTTTTAGAGGGTTTTCTTTTGTTTACCTCTATTAGTGCACTTGGTGGCAATGATGACAACCCTTCTCCTTGTATTTGTTGAACTTCTTGCTCTTGTTCAAGTGGATGAGCAACATCTTCACTGACAATTTGTGATTGTTCCACTTCCATTTTCTATAAAAAAACAATTTTTAATATAAATTATTATTAAAACAACATTAAACAAAATATATTTAAATTAATAATATGAAACAGAACAGGACTTTGCATCAAAATATATTTTCATCATATGAAACAAAATAGTACTTTGCATCATATGAAACAAAATAGTACATTACATTGAACCTATCATCATATTTTGCATTGATATAAAACTATTGAAGTACATACTGTAAAAACAATATATTGCATTGAAATAAATATATTGTAGAACTATAAAAAGTATAAAACCTTATTCAATATGGAGACGAAACTATGAGAGAGTCAAAGTATAGACTGTGGATTTTCGAAAGCAAGATGGAATTGGAATGTGAGAGAGTAAAATGAAAAAAAAAATCGTGAGAGAAAGAGGAGTGGTGACGTTTGAGATTTGCCGTAGTAAAAAAATAGGGTTAGGTTAAGTGGTATTGTCTTTAGTTTAGTAGGTTTCTAATATATACTTAATTATTATTAGTTAATAAAGATTCATTAAAAAAATAAAAAGGCAGTAAAGTGTAAACTAGAAGTGCATAAGTCAAGCAAGCATGATTAATATTAATAATAATGTTTAATTATAATAATAATAATAATTATTTAATGTGTGATTGGAAACTGGAAGGAAAGTGCAAAAGATCTTTGTGTACGTTACAATTTACAAAGTTATAGCAACTTTAAAATTTATAAATAATAATATAATAATAATAATAATAATTAATTATGCCACGTCAACGGGTTGGGTCAACGGGTTCATGGGTTTAGAAACTAAAACCCAATACCCGTACCAAATCTATACGGGTTGTTACGGGTTGGGTCGGGTATACCCGTAAATGAATGGGTCCGGGTAATTAGTGGGTTGGTTCGGTTTGGGTAGGCGGATTTGCGGGTCGACCCGCACCCATGAACACCCCTAATCAGGAATAAGGGATATAATATTTGGATATTTGTTTTTTTTTGTTAAAATAATTAAAAATAATTAAAAATAATAATAGTATGAGTTATTTTCCTAAATAAATAAATTATTATATTTTTTACAATTAATAAATGGATTAGTATAAAATATTAGGAATAAAAAATAAAATTAACTATGAGATATTAATTAATTTGGAAGATTGATGTTAATCTATGGGATAATTCTATGGGATAATTTTAAAGGATAATTATGGGATAATTCTAAGGGATAAATAATAGGGATAGTCAAGGGATAATTCGTGGGATAAAAATGAGA